TAAGTTCCAGACTTACCCAAGGACATACTACATGGCTTCAGAGTCAGAACTAGAATTCATGCAGAATTTCCTTCCTGTTTTTTTCTTTTTAAACAACAGTGAGCATTTATCTGCAGATTTTGAGTCAATTATGACAAATTATTGCCAGCCTACAAATTGAAGTAAAAGCCAGCAGTATATCTGGCCAAGGAGACCAGGAATGGTTAAAATGTAGTGTAGGGGAAAGCAGGTTAGGTTGCCAGGAAGGGAAGGCAGGCTCTTTTAGCACTTCAATGCTGGCACAAATTGTGAAATCAAGTCTTGAGGGCCTTAGGAATGTTTGCTTTGTTCTAACATTCCTTCCTGAGATGGAGTGCTTTCAAAAATAATAATAAAAATATATATATCCCGATGGAAACCTGGTGGCAGGGAATGGTGGTTCATGCCTATAATCCCAGCACTCTGGGAGGCTGAAGTGGTGGATTGCTTTAGCTGAGGAGTTTGAGAGCAGCCAAGGTAAGACCAAGACCAGGGCATGGTCCCCTAACTCCAGCTGGGCCTGCAAGCAGAGGCTTGCTGAGTGTGGACAGAGACTGGTGGGCAGGGACATGGTCCTCTGACTCCAACTGGTGTGGCAAGCAGAGGCTTGCTGCATGTGGACTGAGACCGCAGGTGGTGGTGTGGTCCCCAGCTCCAACTGGACCTGTGAGCAGAGAAGCAGACAACAGTGTGGACTGAGTCTGGTGGGCAGGGGCATGGATCCCTGGCTCCAGTTGTGCTGTTGGAGACCTTTGGATCCCTCTTCATTGAGCAGGGTTTGCACTGCCTGAGACAATATAAATGGAACTCATGTCTGGGGCTGTCTACCTGGGAACACTCTGAGGCTGACCTTCCAAGTTCTATAGTGGAAAAGAACTGTAGGGTGGGGGCTGGGCACTGCAGCTGTCTGTATCTCTTCACAGCTGAGATCTAAACCTAATAAATACCGTGGTTTCTTAGGATAGGGTAGCATTGGCTGCTATCAAAACAGAGCTAGCTTGTGCTATCTCACCAAGTAGGTCCTCAGAGTCTCTGGCCAAAACCCTGAAAGGGGCTGTGGTAAGGTTGTAGGAGATAAGCTATAATTACAAAGCCTAGCACTTTGGTAAGGGGCTGATTATCTCTACTACCTGAGAATGCTAATCCAGTCTCACCCTACTAGTTCTAATAACCAAACGGTGGAAAATAAACATGGTGCAGAACCAATGGAAGAACTCTGGCAACATGACTAACCAGGGTAGTTCAACTCCCTCCCCCAAGAAATGACAAAAGAGATACATTTGAAGATGCCATGCATACAGAAACAACTGAAATGTCATAAATCAAATGAATAGCAAATAAGATGAATAGAAAGGAAGAAAAGTTAGAAATTGAAATCCTGGGTGGCACCTGTGACTCAAATGAGTAGGGCGCCAGCCCCATATCCCAGAGGTGGCAGGTTCAAACCCAGCCCCGGCCAAAACTGAAAAAAAAAAAATTGAAATCCCAAGAGTTGTTTTAAAGTTGTCTCAAGAAATTAATGAATTCGGCTCGGCACCTATAGCTCAACCGGCTAAGGCGCCAGCCACGTACACCTAAGGTGGCAGGTTCGAATCCCCAGCCCGG